CCTCTACACTCAACCTAAAAGGGTTTAGCCCTGGTGATTTCGTTGTTTTATTAAGGTTTCACCCGAACTTTTATTGAATGGTCATTTAACAAAGGTGCTGAGTATTTAATTAAGGTTGGTTGGACACGAGGTTTGGGGCTTGCATGGCTAAAGCGAGGGGTATGAGTGTTGAAGATAGTTGGGGTTGACTCCGTGTAGCGCGTGGACTGTTGATTTGACTTGTTGATGTGATTGTAGGTATGGTTGTGCTTCGGACTCTGGGTGTGGTTGCCTGCGATTTCATATTTTATATGGCTGCGAGGAGCCTCACTGTGACTGTGAGAAGTGATCGTCCTATATAGTTAACCCTTATATATCTATAAGTGCCTCGGGTATGCGCGCGACTTACAGTGATCGTGCGCAAGGGTTAACCAGATTATGGCTCGAGAGAAAAAGAGAGATCCCTTTTCATCCTTTGCTTTTTGAATTTTTTTTTATAGTTGGACGTTATAGTCCGTGGTAGCCGTCAAAGTTAAACCCCTTGATGTTCAACTGCCACGGCAGCTTAAAACTGTTTACTCAACCCCTATGCACAGGGTGCAGAAGAGGGTGTGGTCTTCAACCGCGCATGGCGGTTGTCTAGCGTCGAGAGATTAACCCTCAAGGCGCGTGTCAGCCGACACTTGAGTGTCGAATGCGACCCTCGAGATTAACGAGGATCACCTGAGTAAGGGTACTACATAGTACGCCATTGTCGCGACTGCCTGCGTACGCTTGCATTGCGAGTCGATATGAGTTAGCCTGCGTCCGCGCGGTCTTATACTAAGTCTCGCGCGCGACGCCTATTCGATTTCCGCATTGGAAAGTTATGGGTTGGCTACCGAGGGGCTAGGAGCGTTGTCGCGTTGTTTGTGTTGTGTCGTTTCGTATGTGTGTGTGTATGTGTGTGTGTGTGTGTGTGTGTGTGTGTGTGTGTGTGTGTGTGTGTGTGTTTTATTTTTGTGTTCGTAAAGAGGTGTGCGCGTGGTGTGTGGGATGCGTCCTAGTCGACCGACGTCGAATCGCGCTTGGGACTTCAGCCCCCCAAGATGACGATTCACGTGCGGGTCCGATAGAGGCGTATTACCACGCATACCCCCTATGCTACAGCGATCGAGAAACGCCATCGGCTGGTCGACCTCTGTGATTGCAGGTGATTAGCTTTCGTACTGTGGACTGGTAGCTCGGCGGGGATATGCCTACCGAAGGGAGGTGACAACTCCCGTAAGGTGTAGGTAAGTCGTGCCTCGCGTAGACCCTATCCTGTCGTAGGGGCTCGCGAGAGGTATGGCTGGTGCACTCGGTCGGAGCGGCTTAAGGAAGCTCCACATATATTATATGCGACGAAGGATTTAAACCAACTCCTGCGTGACGCGGTCGGGAGGGTCCCGCGCTGCCTTGGTGCGGTGCCGGACCGATGCGCTTGATACCATTGTTGAAACTGACTTATGAATACCAATACAAAATATCTGGCGATTGCATTTAGTCTTCATACAAAACAATTGCAGTATTTCTCTTCAGAAAACGCACAATTCCAAAGCTAGGTAAATAAACAATAAATCTGAGAGATCGACACAATGGGAGATGAGTGCATGTGATGTACCCACTAATCCGCATATAGTATTAGATATTGCTCCTAAGATAAGAAAGTGCTCACCTCGACGGCTAGCTCTCAGTTTTTCTTCAACACGACCTTCTGTCACACCTTCCATATGCAATGGCGCAATAGGAGATTCCTCGATAGCTATCATGAGGTTAGCAGACTGTGGTGTTTGAGGTTGTTCAAGCATTTGTTGTTATACAAGTACAGCTTGCTCCGGTGTACTTAGTACTATATGTCCTTCATCCTTTTCGATGCCCTGTACATGGAGAGTTTCTTCCTTTTTTACGCCCTCAAAAGTGTCCTGGAAAGTGCCGCTTACTTCGGTTGGCATCATCGACGACGGCATCTGCAATTCCGTGAATGTACCAGTAACATCCACATCCATAGCGACACTGTCGCCCACTAGTATCGTAGTCGCCAAAACTTGGTCAGCTGTACTCACGCCCTCGCAACTCACACCGTCTTTTCGTCCCGAAGTTTTGACACTCGCTCCGACAATCGATCTGCATCGCTGTGTCGGGTTGGACTCAACCACGAGTTTCTCCGCTCGGTCAAGCTGGGAGCGCTCTAATAGTGGACCCCTGCCGTGTTCGACTCGACCGTGTGACCCTTCGACAGGTGAAACAACGTCAATTGGTCCCAAAGTCTTGCCACTTGTACCAGCGATTGATCCCGATCCCACTGTCGGGTTCGACTCGACAGCGAGTTTCTTCGCTTGGTCAAGCCGCGAGCGCTCGAATGCTGGACGAGTGTCGCACCGCCGATAGTTGTACTGCTCGAACGCTCGAAGTCGCGACTCTTTGACAGGTGAAGCACCGCCGATAGTTGTACTGCCCCCCCGTGGTCCCGAAGCCTTGCCAGTCGCACCGGCGATCGTTTTCGATCCCACTGTCGTGTTCGACTTGACCGTGAGTTTCTTCGCTTGGTCAAGCCGGGAACGCTCCAATGCGAGGCCACTGTCGTGTTCGACTCAACAGTGGGACCCTTCGACAGTTGAACCACCACCCGATCCTGATCCCTTGCGCTCTGTTTCTTGAGGCCCCTGAGACCCTTCGACAGTTGAACCACCGCCGCTTGGTCCTGTAGGTTTGCCATGCCCACCGCCGCTTGGTGCTGATCCCTTGCTTTTTGTTGCTTGATGCCCCTTAGACTTTTCGGTTTGTTGTCCTTCCCCACGACTTGCGTCCTTGCCACTTGCACCGTCATTTGGTTCCGGACCCTTGTCACTTGCACCGCTCCCCGATCGCAATCCTTTGCCATGCGCACCTCTGCTCGATCCGGATCCCGGGCCATGATCACCACCGCCGCTTAATTTTTTCCTCTCCCCAAGATCTTCTCTGACATGCCAATAATATCCATAAGCCGGGCTGGTTTGTCTATCATAGAACTCTTCCAGATACTCAAGTCACTTTTAAACTCTTGGAAAATTTCTTCTGTTCTTACATCTAGTCTTGATTGAGAAACCTCCGGATTAAGTCGCAGGAGTCGCTTGGCAATCTGATTTTTGGTATGTTTCAGAAAGTTCGATCCTGACATACGTATGTGGAGGCAAAACTGCCACTCCCCTTCTTTTTTTATAGCCATAACCCACCTCCCTCTCGCCAATGCAGGTTGGAAGTTTTGGGGGTGCCATATAATGTGATGACCCCATGTGGCATCATCCGTCACCGTATAATCGTCTCGGCACACTATAGGCCCAGGAAGCAGTCTAATGTCTGCAGGGATTGTGTCTCCAATCTCGTACTCCCAAGGCTCATAAGGTGGAGGTTGTTGTGGAGTTTGAGAGCGTAGCAATTCCATAATAGTACTTGGGCTGTGTGCAAATGGAGCCAGAGTTGCCACTAACTCTGGGGAGAGCATTGCTAGAACATTCGGATCCAGACTGCCTCCTGATGCCACCGTCATCGTATTGCCCGCCATTTGAGTCGGTGTAACAATAGAAGAAGTCGGCGGCTGAGTCATTAACTGATCCGTTGAAACCGCCATGCTCGAAGCTCCTCCAGAACCGGACGATGTGCCTGGAACACCCATTCTCTGCGAATGCGAAGYCGGGCTACAAGCKYTTTGYCTCTCAGCTGYCAAAGYCGMTTGCAAAGTGYCATCAACACTCTCTTCTTCTGAGTCGTCGGCATCAAAGTCCTCACCATCCACAAAACAAGTCGCATAACCTGCGATTGTAAATGCCCCGATTTGTTGGTCGAAGTACATTGTCTCCAAGCGGTCGAGAAATGAAACCTCCCTCTYCGATGGTGCTTTATGATAACCCCTYAAGAGCTTCTCCACTTTTMTTCTTCTGAGGACATAAGTAYGTTCCCCTCTGTCTTGCGRCTTTGTTTCGAAGAGAAACTCCCAAATATTGACCACGTTTTGGCCAACCTTGTAGACGAGATCACGCCCTTCATCATRTCGAGGAGGCRGCTTAGTAAAGTTGGYGTAGTAATCTCGAGTTTTGACCATCTTGTCAATGAACTGAGTGAGGAACYYGAACTTCATACCCTCCCCTTCCAGCACAATGCAATGACGGTGACTCTTTAACARCTCCCAAACCAATCCCGCATGACCTTTYCCGAGGAAAACGACRKCCTCATCCGCAKGACAAAAATGCTCCAATGTCTCCACCATCGCATTCGGCTCCCTTTCCATACCATCATAGACCACTTTCTCCGGTGGATCCATACCTGCCATTTTCCACTTTGATGGTAGAAAGTTATTCTCCACGACATCAGTGAACATCTTCGGCTTTCTCTTTCTCCGCACAAGCGCCGATATGTCAGTCAGCCGCTTGGCAGATGATGGACCTGCAGCTTGAATATCTTAAAACAAGGGAATAGTGTTGCGATGAAAACCCCCGTCGTTGGAGTACATGATGACCACCATTTTGTATGTATCCTCCAAAGGCAAGTTTGCAACCTTATACACTTTCCCCTTTGTTTGTTGTAGATGAGTCTATTTGAGAAAATCCAATTGAATGTCCCACATCGCGACTCGCCTCAAGAATGTAAACTCGCAAGGGCGTGGAACGAAGCACAACAATGTCCAATACTCGCCGCCAAGTTTGTCCATGAACTTCTTGAGTCCATGAAACACTTGTTCAGTCCACGCACCCATCTGGGTCGGGCGGCACAAATCCAGGACGACTGTGTGGCACGTCAGGTGTCTGACAGCTCTAAACATCTCCTTGCAATCCATCTCGTCTGAAACATCGCTCGGTTCCCACTGGAACGGCACGAATACAGATGTCACATCCTGTTTCTGGAAATATATATATATCGCTTGTCCTGACATACGAATGTTATGCGAACCCCCAGTTTCAAATCTACGCAACAACTTGTTGACAAATTGAATGAACTCTTCGGGGCATTTGTTTGCAAGCGATTTTGTTTTCTTGAAGCCTTTATCTCCTTTCTCATCCTCGCCTCCAAGTGTAGTCGGAAATGACCTCACCCAACTCGTTTCTTTGAAATACCGTCGCTAGTCAATCCACCTCTCCGATGTCAATCCTTGATCACAATACCTAGCGAACAAATCAGAAAGGTTGTTGAAGAATGGTTCCTTCCACTCTGACGGCTTCTTGTGAGGGTCAGAAATGAAGACGAAGTAGTGAAACATTCTCAACATTGCTCTTTCCTGCTTCACCATTTCCGCGTATGTCTCCATCGAATGTTTTCCGGCAGTGTGAGCAGCTTTACTTAGCCTTGGAGCCAGTATGACACTTCCCGCGAGAATGTCTCTCAACAGCTGAAGCCTCTCACGCCTCCCCAACGTAGACATAGCCTTCCATGATCTGACATCCGGATCGCACACAACCGCGAGGTAACCAGGTCCTCTAGTACCCTGAATCCAATGCACTGGAACCCTGATTCCTTTTTCCAACTCGAATCCGGGGCCAGGTCTCGGCGCTTTCCCCGATTCACCTTGTTTGGTGGCAGGCTTCACACCATCTCTCCCCGACAACTGTCCACTCTCCCAAGCAGAATACACTTGTTGCACCTTCTCGAACACATCGCCCGTCGAACTTGCCAATACCATGTAAGGCCCGAGGAAGTCGGACCACTCCTTGCTCCAAGCATGAAGTGAAAGAGTAACCAAATGATCACTCCCGGTCGCGCGCAGAGCCATCGCCGCAAACTCTATGTAATCCTTATTTTTGACGTCTGCAGCAGATCCGCCTATAGCTTCTGGACGACCGACTGCTTGCCACAACTTTCGTATGTTCTTAACGATAGCAATCTGGTGCGGAGGAGTATTCCATTTGTCCTTCGGATTTTGGAAAGTGCTCAAGGTGCAGTAATTCTCCATGCTCTTATCCGGATAGTAAACAGGCCTTGCAGTCCAGCAATCCAAACGGAGCTCACRGGCGATGTYAGRGCGTTCTTGAGAACATTTCCTCGCCGCCGCAACATTGTGTTGACCACTGAGAGGGTACCAGTAGTACTTGCGCACGGATTGGAGATCGAATTCGCCGGGCGTCACTCTTCTCGCCCTCACATTCGTACCGGAAGCGTCAGTATGCATTGTATCATGTAGCCCAATCAACAAAAGGACAGGCTTCTCGTACAATGCACATACATTCACCCCGGCTGCCCCGGTCGTTCTCTCTCTGATAGCTGCCTCACCCGACTCAACCATTGTTTTGTAAAGGTCATCAATAAGCTCCTGATCGAGGAAGCGTTGATTATATTTGAATTCCTCATCAGGGATATCCAGAATCCTGTCCAACTTGACAGAAATGAACTGCATTTCCGGCCTCTGTTTACCATTCTCGTCGAAACTCATAGCGTGGTGGGCGGACCAAGGAAACGGGTTCCTTGGTTGATGTTGGTCTACGCTTCACAGGGGCTGACGGCACGATTTGCCCGCGACACGGACCTTTTTCCCCGATCTGCCCAAATTTCGGAACTCGTGTTGCAGCAGCCGTAGTCCGAAGCGATGGCGTTGGGCGGGCACCTATAATGATTGGTTTCGACGACGGTGCCGCGTCCGCAACAACAATAGTCCGAAGCGATGGCGGTGGGCGGACACCTATAATGATTGGTTTCGACGACGAAGTCGCCTCCAAAGACGACGAAAGCACGCTTTTCGGTTCAGATATGCGGTCGGAAGCATGCACCACCGGCTCATGCCCTGCGACCACATTTTTGTCGAAGAATGTGAAAACCGCTCGAAGATCCGGCAACGTCTATTTCTCCGTCCCGGGCGGATTGAAAATGTCATAAAGCTTCTTGTCGTACCCAACATGTTTGGCCCAACGAAGAGCAACGCGTTTGACATTCGCCATCCGCTCACCTCTAGCGTCAAGGACCATCGTCAACTCCAACATGGCGAACTGTGAATTTCCTCCACTCCACTTCACCACACCACCAATCGGAACAATATTATCTTTGATCACCATGTACAAAACCAGCCTACCCGAGGGTTCCCTGATTCCACCCACCCAGTCTAGCATCCAACACCTGTCTTTGTGGTCGACGACAGGAACCTCGTCTCCCACACTAGCAACGGACGTCTCACCAGACCTTCTACGCCTAGACACAACGTCCATCGTAGATTTCCCCTGCCGACCAGTAGCCTCCTCTTCTCGACCCGCAGCCCCACCAGTCATCAGCACAGCCGAATCCGGTTCCGAACCTCGAACATGGGCGGAAGGAGTGCCCGTAGAAGGTGCACCTCGCAGCACCCGGGTTCGGTGGCCCTTAGACCCCGGTGTGTCGCCAGCCCCCACGCTAGCCGTTGGTGTCCCCTTCGGTTTTTTCGGACACTAGTCCATGCTCCCGGAACCAGTACTAGTACGTCGTTTGCTTGGCTTCCCCTCTCGATCCATGTTGAGCAGCCAGTCGCAACTGAAGAAAATGCACAAGCGAGAAAGCAGTCATTGCTTTGCCAACGTGCAAACACCACAGCACTTGAGAACAAGAATAGACAGGAACAGAGACCAACGGAAGCGGGCCGCAGCCCGCCAGCTCGTCGTCGTTTCACTGTCGTCTCGAACTCGACGGCCGTGCCACGACGTCCTCCAGTACCGTCGAATTTGACACGAGAGCGACATTGCGGTGTCGTCGTGTCACTGTCGTGTCGAACCCGACGGCCGACCAACTCGTCGTCCTACTCGACGTTGAGCTCGGCACTGCGCGGGCTGACCAACCGTCGTGTTGGACATGATAGTTACACTGTTGTCTGTCGTGCGACAGTCGACCAAGCGGCCGTTCATGCACCACCTGGTCGCCAGATAACAGTGTCCATGTCGTGTTCGACACGATGGTCGCCAAACGGTGCCTAAAGGGGAGCTGACCGTCGTGTTCGACACGACAGCGACACTGTCGTCTGCCGTTCGACAGTCGACCACGTGCCCCTTCGGGCACCGTCTCGGGACCATCGTGTCGAACACGACAGCGACACTGGGGTGTGTTGTACGACATTTGTCGTGTTCGACACAATGGTCGGCGGCTACCATCGTGTCGAACACGACAGCGACACTGGGGTGTGCTGTGCGACATTTGTCGTGTTCGACACAATGGTCGGCGGACGGTGCCTAAAGGGGCACTTGATCACGAGAACACAAGACAACAGATCGCAGGCACTGGTTAACACGGAGAAACATTGGCTGTTGAATGTTTGTGCACGCAAAACATCAGAACAACGATTTTTTTTCCCGAAAGGAAACACAACATGAGAACAACAATCAAACAACACTCGGCTGGCAGCGATGTGTTGATGTCCACAGCCAAACCAAAAACACGTATCATCATTCCCGAGTTTCAATGAATCGAAAAACAATATGAGGACAACAACGTCAAACGTGTGTACTTTTAGCCACTGAACACATGATGAGAACAATTAGCAGATACCGCGTATTGTTATCGAAATAACACATTTAGAACAGCAATCGCAATGGGAATTCCACGAGGCTATTTATCGACTACGGGGAACAATCTCGCCGTTGCGGCCATTGCGGCCATTCAGTATGTCGTTTTGGCCATTCATTATGACAAAGGCTATCTACCGACTACGGGGAACAATCCCGCCGTTGCGGCCATTCAACACGCTAATTGGCGATCCGAAGTTTTGCTGTTGCACCGTCTCAGCAAACACCGAAATGTATGTCATTCGCACGAACCCCGGAGTTCCCGACGAGAGAAGCGCCTATAGCATCCCAAATTGAAACGACTTTAGCCTCGACCTCGCGCCATCCGACAACGTCCTCTACCTGGCCACCCACCACGATATCCAGTTTCCCATCTACCCTTCTTTGAACTAAACACATATCCCTCCCGGACATAGACAACTCATTCCTGGACACATACATGACACCATCGGTCAAGTTTCTTGCCCTGCTCGAAACGGCAATACAGAGGAACCTACAGAAGATAAAGTATGCCAGACGCAATCTCACACAACAATACGAAACTGCTCCTGGCGACAGACCGGGAGATCGCAACGGATAATGATCGAGGAACTGAGAATGTCGCGCACAATCGAGTAACTCCTGTTTCATAACACGGCACCAGGTGCGAGGCGAGGTTGTCACGTATTCGCGGTCCAAACCCCCCACAACACGGCTTATTTTTAGCTTTTTACACAGTAGCGGCAAGCGCACGGGACGCAGCACATCGAACGGCACGGGAATGCGTTTGCCGAATTCGGACATATTCACGAACTCATAATAGCACGCCCACGGGCATCTCTCCGTCATGTTCACCCACTCGCACTCCTTCTACGAGTCCAAATGTTTGTCGCCAAACGGGAGGATTCTCATCCAAGGGTCGCATTCGAAGTCTTCTGGACAAGCGCCTTCATAGGTTACGCTGCCCTGACATTGTCGAACGTACAGCGCGCAAGGCGGGAAAGGGTGTGCCTTGCGTGCACGCCAAAGTGTTGAGGTCATATTAGAGATCTCCATAGCAACAGTGAAGAGAAGACGCCATACACAGCACAAGGGCGACGGTCAACAGCAGCAATAGAACAACCAACAGCAGCATATAACTATTCACCCCGCTCCCCCTAACAATGGAAACAAACCAGGCCGCACGACGGCACAATGCACAGAATCTACGTGCGCAATCCACACCCATAATTCCACGCACACAACCCATGCACGATCTTCCAGGACACGACGCACGCGGCCCATAGCACTGCACACAATCATGAACGATTCGATGACATTGCACCGCGCACAATCTTGTTCCACTAGAGGACAGGGAAGGGTCGTGTTCGACTCGACGACAGGGCACTCACCTATCGTGTTCGACTCGACGAACGCAATCGACGATCGTGTTCGACTCGACGATCATGTCGGACTTGATGATCGTGTCCGACTCGACGATCGTGTTCAACTCGACGAACGCAATCGACGATCGTGTTCGACTCGACTATCGTGTTCGACTCGACGATCGTGTTCGATTCGACGATCGTGTTCGACTCGACTATCGTGTTCGACTCGACGAACCCAATCGACGATCGTGTTCGACTCGACTATCGTGTTCGACTCCACGATCATATTCGACTCGACGATCGTGTTCTACTCGACGTCCGGACCTCGACGTGTTCGACTCGCCTATCGTGTTCGACACCACTATCGTGTTCGACTCGACGAACGCAATCGATGATCGTGTTTGACTCGACTATCGTGTTCGACTCGACGATCGTATCCGACTCGACGATCGTGTTCGACTCGACGATCGTTGTTCGACTCGTCTATCGTGTTCAACTATTCGATAGTGTTTGACTCCTCGATAGTGTTTGACTCGATGATCGGTCACTGTCGTGTTCGACTCGACGATTGGGCAGTGTCATGTTCAACTCGACTATCGTGTTCGACTTGACGATCGGGCAGTGTCGTGTTCGACTCGACGATCGGGCAGTATCGTGTTCGAGCCGACGATCGTGTTCGAGCCGACGATCGTGTTCGAGTCGACGATCGGGCACGATCGTGTTCGACTCGACGAGCGTGTTCGACTCGACGATCGTGTTCGACTCGAGTCTCGTGTTGGACTCGACAATCAGACATCGGGTGCGATCGTGTTCGACTCGATTGTCGGGCATTGTCGTGTTTGACTCGACGATCGGGCACGATCGTGTTCGACACGACGATCGGACACGATCGTGTTGGACTCGACGATCGGGCGCGATCGTGTTCGACTCGAAGACCGGAAGTGCCACGTGGCGTTACGTGGTTGCATCTGGGCTGCGTGGTTGTGTCCACACCGTCCGATCCTTCAAACTCAGGGTGCTCCGCTGTGGTTGTGCGTCGCGATCTTGGGCCGTATGCTCGCTCTGTCGCCACGCTGAACATGCCTCTCGACAGCGCTGTGGTCCGCCGTCGCGTCGAGCAGGTGGTCTGCTATGCACGAACCGAATCCCTGCACTCCGTTGCCGCGCTGTACACGAGCCTCCACTGCGCTGCGCTGTGGCACGAGCCTCCGTTGCGCTGCACTACTGCTGCGTTGCCGAACTGAAACGAAAATGGGAACTGGTGGCCCTCCCTCATATATATAGTTTTTCGGGAGGGCCCTTCGCGGGCACCTGCTGGCCGTCAAATCCGGGGATACTGACGGTCAGGATGTTCCAATGGGGAGTGGTGGGCCTGCCTCATATATGTGGTTTTTCGACTGGGCCCTCCGCGCGCGCCTGCTGGCCGTCCGATCCGGGAATACAGACGGTCGGGACGATCCAATGACTGCAGTCGGTCGTGATCGTTTCTCCCCCTTGGCCAGAGCGGAGGCGCGGGGATGACGTTCAGCTGCAGAGCAGAAATGCGATTCGCGCACATAAGTACCCACGACATTGTGTCATTGTTCTCGTTCTGGGAGAATCAGCGCAGCGGTCCGCCAACGTCGACACGACAACTGCCCCGCTCTCTAGGTTAGTGCCGCTTCGGCCAACACGGCCGCCCCCCCAAGAGAAAGAGAAAAGCCTCCGTGGACGGCCGTGTCCAGTGCTGGTTTATCGATGACGTCAACAAGTTTTCTCCAACACTTTCACAGCAGTCGTCGTTGTGTCAAACACGATGGTCGATACGGTAGTGGTCGTGTCGAACGCGATGGTCGTCGTGTTGAACACGATCGTTGTCGTGTCCGACACGCTGGTCGTCGTGTCAAACACAATGGTCGTCGTGTCCGACACAATCATCGTCGTGTCGAACATGATGGTCGTCGTATCGAACCCGATCCTTGTCGTGTCGAACACGCTCGTTGTCGTGTCGAACACGATCGTCGTCTGGTCGAACACGATCTCCATCGTGTCGAACACGACCGTCGTCGTGTCGAACACGCTCGTCGTCGTGTTCGGCTCGTTGCCGTATACTGCCGTCGTCATGACCGACGCCGTGTTGAACACGGTCGTCGTATTGTCGAACACGACTCCATTGTATCGAGCGAGGCCGTCTTCGTGTCCGACACGATCGTCGAAGATGGTCGACGTGTCGTGCACGATGGTCGTCGGATCGGACACGGTGGCCGTCGTGCTGAGCACGGTGGTCGTCGTGTCCGCCACGGTCAAACGCGGTCTTGGTCGTGTCGAACGCCATCATGGTCGTGTCGAACACCCTGCTCTTTTTCGCCACGACCCCCACCTACGTTTTGACTTGCACAGAGTTTAGTGCGAGTTGCGCCAGCAGAACATAGTGCCCGGGTGACTGTCTTTTGTCTCTTGTAGCACTAACTGCTTGTTGCGAGATTGCGCCACGACCCCCACCTTGTAATATACAATGGAGCTCCTGTCGTGTGGGGCGCGACATTGGCGTTGCCGCAGTCGTTTGCCTTCTCAACCTGGCTATCTGGAAACCCGTCGTGCGCCGTGGAACGAACTCTGCTCGAATTTTGCTTCGAATCCTCGGAGTCTGGTACCCGGGAATCAAGACGGGGGACCCTTCCGTGTTGGGCGAGGCGGTCGCGTTGCCACGACGGTTTTCCTGCTCACTCGTGGCAGTTTTCCGGCCCGCTCTTCATGGGTGGTGAGTACCACGCGTGCCGGGAATCAAGATGGGGGACCCTTCCATGTTGGGCGAGGCGGTCGCTTTGCCACGATGGTACGGTCGAGTTGCCACGATGGTATTCCTGCTCACTCGTGGCAGTTTTTCTGCCCGCTCTGTGTGGGTGGTGATTACCACGCGTGTCCAGTCGCTGCAGTTCCTGGAGTAATATAGAATCTTTCCTATCAATGCCCTCGTGCCAAGCTGTGTGCTGCGTGCCAGAGTCTTCGCCGTTCCGCTGTTGGTGCCCGATGGGTTTTGCACGCCGTGGTCTCTGCCTTTCCGAAGTTGGTGCCCGACGTGACATGTGCTGCGTTTCCTGTTGCGCGTCAAGATCTCCGCCTTTTCAATGCTGTTGCACGCTGTGTTTCTGGTTGTTGGTGCCCCGACTCGACATGTGCTACGCTTCCCCCTGTCGTTGGATCTCCGACTTGGACAGACTCTTTCTCATGTATTGCGCCTCTGGCACGGATTGGGCCTGAGGACTGGATTGCTGCCCAGATTCCACGGTCGTGTGTTATCCTCTCTCGGATGTTTCCTGTTCCCCTCCGTCCAGTGTAGGGTTGTGTTTCTCAGGGTCATTTATAGGGCGGTGTTTCTCGCTGTTGTGCAGGGATGGTTGTCTGCTCTATTTCATTTCACAGTGGTCCGCTGTTTTGTTGTCGCAAACACGTCTCGTGCATGGCTTGTGGTGTGCATGCTATGCCACAGCAGGCTTGCAGCACAACCTTCGAAAGCATGGACTGTGTGGCGTCTAATACAATGCTCACTAAGGATTTTCCTCCACCGCACCTGCCAATGTGTTCACAAGATGTTCGAAGTGGTCACGAACATGTCGATAATGCTCTGGAATCTTCTGCTCCTAAGAGGTCACAAAATATTGCGTGTGCAGACACTACATGTGAAAGTGCGTATCCCGTCCTTCGATGCCCGGTTCGAACCTGTGATGCAGAGAGTGCTGAAGGTCATGAGGGTAAGGCCTCCTTTACTGACAACGATGCATCCGATGTAGATCGTGTTGTATGGGTGCCGAGGAGTTCACTTCGAGATTTCGAGTACACAGGTCTTCTGTTTGGTGAGAGTGATGAAGGTGGTTCAGATTCAAGTGCTTCGGTGTCGTCTAGTGCTGATAGTTCTCCAGATAAAACCGATCTTCCGCAAACGTACGCTGACCGGAACAGTGACCACTGTTGTCAAAATGACGATGAGAATTGTGACGTGATCTCTTATTTCGATGACATTTTTCCAAAACGTCTGTCCTCAGAGAAGCGTCCTTATACTTTTCGTCTCAGAATGCCGCGGTCAAAGAAGATTCTGCAATCAGTTCATAGAAAACTCACCAAAAAAGCATTGCGAGTGTGCGTGGGCAGGTTTGCTGTAAGCGAGAGTGTTTCGCTCAAATGACCCTGGACGACATCAAAGCTGTCCGGAGCACATACTACTCTAAGAACCAGCATACCAGGGATGCGTGGTGGGTTGAAACGTTGAGGAGGTTCACCTTCATAGACGATGAAAAAAAGATTGTTCAACCTATTGTGGGGAGACGAAAGGTGTGCATTAGTGCTTGGTGTTTCACACTGGGTGTATGTAGGAATACATTTCTCAAAAAAAGGATGACTTTATCAAAAGGCTACAATATGCCGGAGCATGGCAGTACTGGACTCAGACGCACATCAGCAACATATGCGACGATGTACGGGAAACTAAGCTCCTTCGTGCGAGACAACGGAGATTCCATGCCCAATGACATGAAGATCAAAGAGGGGGAATCAAGAGTGGTGTTGAGAGTGTCCGCTTGCTATAACAAGGTTGATATTTATAAGTTGCTAAAGTCGCAATTCGACAACATGGGTGCTCCTTGTGTTTCTCTCCAAGTTTTTTACAACATGTGGAGAACGCAGTTCTGGCATGTGAAATTCCATGACATTGATCAAAACTTTGCGAAATGCGAGAAATATATTGAATATAAAGAATCTATAAATTCCGCAAAGTTTGTGCGTGTGCGTGAGTACTTTGTTTCGTTACGCGAGAAACACTTGGACTTGCAGCTTCAACATCGTGCTGCGTATGAGGTGTGGAAGGATGAGTCGAAGAGACCGGGTTCCAACAGTTTGTGCATCATCATTGACGGCATGGACCAAAGCAAGACCAGCATTCCACACTTTGGCGGAGAGAACAAATCGAAGGCAATCGCAAATATTCCGATGTTGAAACGAATCTAACAGTTATTATTGCATACGACCGTTCACCATCGGTCCATGTTCACACATGGTACCCTTGCTGTCCACATGATTCTAATGTTGTAGTGTCATCCATTATGAAAGTTCTCCGCGACGTCCAGGTGACGAGTGACTTGCCTCCTAAACTGAGGATACAAGCTGACAATTGTTGGAGAGAAAACAAAAACAGATACATTTTGGCACTCGCTGCAGCTTTGGTGAAATTTGGCTTCTTCAAAGAAATTGAATTCGGTTTTATGTTAGTGGGACACACATATACGGACGTTGATGCCACTTTCAGTCATTTCTCTCGCAAACTGAAAATGCACGATGCATATACCATGCTCGACCTCTTCAAGCTCGTTGGCAGTTCTAAAAAAAAACGTTCATCGTGCACATTCATGGATTAAATTGTTGATTGGCGAGCTGCTGTTAAGCCCTTCCTGGTCAAGAGACTGATCGGTCATACTCGTTCACATGCATTTAGGTTTTATATGCAGGATGACAATCCTGTGTTCCAGTGGAAAGAGTATTGCACTTCTCCTGAATGGTCTGCTCCAGTCTATTGCTTTAAACGAGATGGAAACAAAGCATATGCTGGACCCGAATAGGCATTCGTGCCATCACCTGTTCCGCCGTCAGCTTCTCTGCCTACTAAAGATAGGAATTCGGATTTTGAATCGGGAATTGAAGGTGTGAAGACGTTTGTTGGGTGGTTGGAGAACAAGCGGCACGAGTGGTTGGGAATGAAAGATGAGGTTAGCTTCTCAAAGGAGAGTGCTCTTTCACACTGGAAAACTTTCCTCGAGACAGTCGAGGAGCATTACGGGTCTGGGTTTCCGAAAACTTCACTCAAGGCTGACTTCTGACCCTCACAAGACAAAATTAAGAAGGATGATCCAGATGATATTGATATTGCCTTCCTCTTGAAGAGCAATGAGAATAAAGGAGTCGTTGTTCGTTGGACCGACCAATGAGCGTCCAAAGGTGGAGCTCAACCAAGTTGTGAATGTCGAAAAAGGTCAATTCGTTCTCTTGCGTCCTTCCCAAGATGATATCGATGAGGGGGTTCCTGTATGGATGGGTAGAGTCATTTCCGATATAGACAACGATATGAAGTCGTCAACTTTCAATCATATTCTTATTGAATATTGGGTGTCACAACCTATTGCTAAACGTTTTTCTGTGCAATATTTGAACGCATGGAAGAAGACATGGAAGAAAGACAACACAACATCACAGCAGTGACAGCATGTAGACTGTGTTGTGTGGAGCTGGACATCAAAGACATTGCATTTAGAAAATGGAATGCACATTCCAAAATCAGCGAGAGAGAATGCCTTGGTATGCCTTTCACTTCCCCATAATGAAGATCAGTAGGTTTTCAATACGTTTTGAAGAAAAGCTAATCGTATTTCTTTACACGTATTAGTACGTTATTTAATTGTCATTGAGCTTTTATTTATATATATTTAAATTGTATTTTCATGTGTTGCAGAATGGTTTAACCATTTGTGACGACTGGGTGGCCGCCAAGTAACATGATGTGGGGAATAAATATATGGCATGATATGGGTCCAGTTTTCTTCACATCTGAAGTGATCTTTGACAGTGCAGTACTCAGTGTTAGAGGTGTGGATGCCCCACCGGAAGACTGAGAACATTCTCCTCGAGAGTCACTGTATATTTGTGGTCGGAGGTGTTGTGGAACGAGAACATACCCGTGAGAAGTGCTCGCACCCTTTTCGGAATTGTATTATTCAACAGTCAAATTCTGCCACAACAATTTCAACGTGATGACCTTGTTTTGTGCAGCGGCAACTGCTCGAGGTCGGTGCAAAGTATCTTTCCTTATTTATAATGACTATTCTGCGAGCGCAAGTATTTCCAATGCAGACAACATCGATGAACGACGACGACAAGAATTCCGAAGGAGGATCATGGAGCAACCATCACTCAAAACACTCATGGATGGGCTTGTGGACACGGCCATCAAATATTTGTGAAGTCTCCTGCTGCGCGAATATGAAGTAATAGAAAGTTATATAGAGTACAAGGGTCCGGCGTTTGACGGACAAATTGATACCATCATTGTAGAAGATTGGACAACTTAGACAATGACAGACTGAAATGTTGTCTTGATCGCATTAGTTTATCCTTGTAGTCGATCTAGTTACTAGGCTTGTTTTGCCTATTTTCGGAGTGTCATTTCTGCTTTGCATTTAATTTTTTTTTTCCTATTACTCAATCAATGGCCTTGAGACATCATCTAAGTTCGAATAGTCCAGTCCTGCATTAATATAAAGTTATTTGGTTATCCGAGTTCAGCGGGATTCGAACTAAGGTTTGTGTTTAGACAGTTTATGGGTGACACTGCTTTCAAATTATTTTTAATGTTGAACTTTTGCACGTGTTTTCATTTAATTGTGTTGTTGTAGTTAAGCAAGATTTTTGTACGTGTTTTTGGAGTGTCCGCTGCACTTTGCTGTCAAATATTAACAGATCTTTAAATTTTATTCTAAGGTCATATGCAAGGTTTTTTTGTTCTTTCATGTAAGCCTTTAAGTTCAAGGAACATCAGATTCCGAACTGATTGAAATATTGTCAAGTTCAACTTGATCCGACA